TCTCGCTTCACCCGTGCGTCCTCCTCACGCTGCGCCTCTTGAGACATGACCTGGGCCATGCACTCCGTGTGCACGCACGATTGCTTGCCCTCACGGCCCTGGTAAGCGAACTCGCCCACCGGCAGCGAGCAGCGCGGGCACAGAGGCACCTCCTCTCCCTGACGGAAAGGTTTGGGTGCTTGGCTGAGGATGGGTTCTCTGCATCGTTCCTGATCCCCGACGACAACAGATGAAACATGCCGAAACCGGGGGGCGCAGTGCCAGGCGAGATGTTTTCTTTTGTGGTAAAGTAACAGGAAAACAATCGCTCTGCAAACCTTTGTGCTCCAAGCATGTGGGTCTGTAGCAGGCTTCCACACTGTCAAACCGACAGGATTCGATGAAGCACACACGTCGCCCGATCTGCGAACTGACGGACCAGGACCTTGTCCACAGACGGATGAGCAACAAAGCAAGTTTACGAGCAATAGAACTTTGAAGCAGCATTCGAACACTGGGCTTCGTTGCAGCCTCTCTTGCTCGGTCTGTCGTGCCTTTTGCTTCTGTCTTTCTGCTGCTCTCTCTGCTGGGCTTGGCGGGCTACGGCCACTGTCGTTTCCTTCAGGCTCTCACCCCTTGTGTTATTGAATGAGAGGCTTTGCGTGCATCACTGCACACACTTTAAGGCTACACTCAGCCGAGTGCTTTGCTAGCTGGAGATCCCATTGGCCCTGAACACGCGTGCCCGTTGCTGTTTTCGGGAAGGACGGCATTTTTCTTGGGCCCTGTTGGTCGTCGCTCGCAGCGTGCCGACCCACCCGTTTCGCTCCCTTTCTTCCAAGTCCTCAGTCTGACTTGCCCTTGAGCTTGCCTCTGAGTCCACCTCCCAAAGCTTTGCAGTCGAAGTCCGCGGCTTTGGCTTGAATTCCATTGCTGCTTCGAGAACCTTCGTCGAGATTCAGGCAGGCTCCTGTGCTCACCCACGACTTCTTCGACCTTGCCTCAGCCGAGACGGTCGGCGCTTTTGCTGGCTCTTTTGGGGTGAACCAGGGGAATGCCTTGCGGTTGAAGCCTGCAAAAGCGCGACACATTCCAACAAGCTGTGCTCACATCACTGCATCTCCTGCCTGCGCTCGTGCCATCACGGTTCTCGCCAATTTTATCCATGTACTGCCGGAAAGCCTCCTCCTCATCCTTTGCCATGGGCTTCCTGTGCACATGTCAATCCCACCGTCCCAACGGTAGCCGGCTACCACATCTACTCGATAACCACCTCAGGCAGAGAGCAGTTACTCCTTCAGAAAAAAATCTCTTGGTCTTGGTGCATGCAAGCATCAGAGCCAAGGGTTCCTTTTCCGTAGGCTCGTCTGATGGAGAGAGAGCTGGTGGTGTTGAGGGGCTAATCGATGGAACCTTCCAGCACGAGCGACTGCAAAGCTTGGAGATCTCCAAGCAGCTCGTGCCTGCTCGTCGACAACTTGCTTTGAAACCCATTGGGAGAACTTGCCCCCACGTGCTTTTGTCGGCACCTGAGCAGGAGCTTGCTGCAAGGCAGTGCCACAGGTCTGCAGCGCCTCGCAGGTGGAGGCCATGTCGCGACCAAGGCTTGGAAGGGGCCCGGCAGTGGGGCAGATGCCTTCTGAGCACAAAATTGCCTGCGGCCATTGCCTGTGGCAACCTTTGCCGATCTCAAGGCGAGCGGAGTTCCCTGGCAGCAGTTGGCCGGACAGTTTTCGACAAGCAATGGACGGGAAGAGCCGAGTTTGCCAATCTTCGAATCTGTAGTTGCCGCATGCACATCTAGTAATCTAGTAAAGCGCGGTCAATGCATCAAGCCCTTTGGCTGGCAGGCAGCTATTGGGTGGGAGATGATTGGGCGCTAGGTTTGCTAAGTGCTCCAATCATGCTGCCGTGCCCGTGCCATCCATTCATCACTAGTCCTAGTGCATCCGAATGCACAGTTTGCAACTACGTCTGCCTCATACTGGCAGTCAGAAGTGCGCCGGGATCTTTGGCTTCAGAAGGTCGCCTTTCCTGGTGGAGCTCCTTGCAGACACGGAACACTGCCTCAACTCGAATGACTACTAGTACAGTACCTCAGCATCGACTAGCCATCTTGTGGCAAGGCACCGTGCGAGCCACATGACGTTCAGGAAATCTGACGAACGGCCCATGGCAGCCAGACCCAGATTGCCTGTGTTGGGTGGGGTCCTGAGCATGAAAGCGGCTGGACAGCTGCTGAATTCGGAGCATTCCCGAGGTAGGCGGGTCATGTGGCCCATCAACTCAGCCAGGGCACGGTGGTGCATACCGTCTCAAATTGCCCCCCCACTTCCCACGGAAGGTGCGCCCAGACACAAACTTGTAAACGGCTTTGGCATAATGTTTGCGAAGGTTGTTCAAACCTTGGCATGCAGCAGCATTCTTTCTCATATTGGCCACACAATGCTACAGCTCAAGACACCATGAAGACCAGCCAGAGCGCTGGGTGGAAGAATG